CCAGGAACTGAACTTGTTTACTTAAATCCATACATTGTGACCTAGTTTGGTCCAGTGGGAGAAAGAAGCTGGAAGGGAGAATCAGAAGCAAGATTCTAATTCTAGCTTTGTTACCAATTTGTTGTGACCTTAAGCAAATCAGCTTAAGTTCTCTGTGACTCAGTGTCTGCAGTTTCAAATAGGAGCAAAGAAACCTGCTTTAACTCAGTTTGTTGTGATAATCAGATAAAATTACATATATGAAAATTCCCTAAAAAATTAAAGCAATTAAAAAATGTCAGGCTTAAAAACACTATCCATTTTTATATAAAATGGGTTAAAAGCTTATAAAATGAAAATAAAGTAGATGAAAGCTTGACATAAGACAAACTAGAAATTGCATTAGAAAATATTGGGCATCATTTTTTATTGTTCTATCAAATATTATAACAGTGGAAAACCTATATAATAACAAGGCCTGCTTGTTATTCAGGCTCTCAGGAAAAAATGTACAAGATCTATAAACAAGCATTGGTCTGAGTTAAAGGTTTAAGAAAACTGTTTTCAACAAATAAGCAAAAGGCCCAATCTTGATAATGAGGTTTCTTGCCTAACCTGAGTTGCAGGTCAGAAGACACAGCTCTGCCACTGACTGTGAGAATTTGCAGCCATGACCAGGTCAGAAAAGCCTAGAACAGCGTGGTGCCAGCTCACACCTAGAGTGCCACGTAAAGCATTCATGCATGCCACCAAGGCCGAGGCCTGGGTCTTGAAATTCTTACTGTGCTAGCGTTGGAGCAACCTCCTCTTAACTGTACTTGAACTATAGAACCAAGGAGTTTTCAATATATGTCCACTTATGGGGTTGTAAGAGCAGGCAGTCAAGGCCTCTTTCAGACAGAAACCTTGCAGTGTCTCCACATTGACTAGATCTGTTTATGGCAAAGAACTTTAACCATGTCCAAAATTAGGGTTCCCACCTGATGTCTAATGGCCTAAAGGATTGCCCAATGTAAGCCAGTTATCAAGGAGAGGAGGAGTGAAGAGGGGTAGGAGAGGAGAAGAAGGAGGAGGAGAAGGCAGGGGAGGGAGAGTGGCAAACTTATTTGTGTTTGACCTATGCCTTGTGGGTCCGTTTTCTTTATGTAGATGCTCACTTATTTCTGCTTTAGCTTCACGCCGGCTATAGTGACATCTTTGTTACTTAAAAGTTCCCTTGGAATATATTCCTAAAAATAAAATAGCTGAGTTAAAGAATAGGTGCGTTTTTGGGGCTTCTGCTACACATTGCCAAATTGGATTCAATAAGTTTATGTCGTTTTACACACCAGAGGCTGGTAAGGGCTCGCATTTGCTATTGCCCCTTTAAAATCTTAGCCGGTTTATTAGTTGGAAAAGGGCCTCTATTTTTGCTGGAATTTTCAGTTTTTTAATTACAAACTAACCAATCATTTCAACAAGATTTTAATAGAGATGCTGTATTCTGTCCCCTGTTCCATTAAAAAGCACTTTGGAGGTTAATAAGGAAGTGTTTGTCCCACTCCTTGCCCTCATACATTAAGGGAGCTAAGTGTATGCTCAACATCCTTGAACCAGGAGAGAAAACAAGACCTGAAAAAAATATGTGCATCTGGATGGAGGAGGACAGGTCCATGGTCCATGTAAACACTGGTAGGCAGGGAAAACTTCTTGGAAGAGGCATTATCAGTCCTGGGTCTGCAAGATGGGCAGGGCTTGAGAAAGTAAAAAGATGTGGCAGGACATTGCATGTGGGAGTTCAGGCAGGAGCAGAGAGCAAAATCTTGAGTTAGAAATGGGCAAGGCATGTGTGTTAGTTCAAGTTCTCCAAGAAGAAGACAACACAATGGAATTGAATGTGCAAGGATTTGGTGAGAGGAAATGCCTGTGAGAACATAGGGAGGAGCAGGAGAAGGCTGGGAGAACCATTGGACTGTGATGCATGTCTGACCCTGAGGGAAGGAAGGTTGAGTGGAAGCATCCCAGACTTCCCTGTGGTGTATAGAGGTTTGGGAAAGGCTGTCAGGGAGCCACAGCTAGCCATCAGAGGAGTCCCATGGCTCCCAGAATAGGCTACCTTGGTATCTCTGCCCTGCTCGGTCATTGGCCGGGAGCAGCCTATGAGAATCTGGGAAGCATGGTCTCAATGCAAATGTAATGATGGGTTTCATAGCACAGCATCAAGAATCTTGGTCAATTAACCCACTTCCACTGGAGGTCTGTGAGGTGCACTCTCATGGCCTAACAAGACAGGCTACCTTTACCCAGAGGTGGGAAAGGGTTTCTACCTTCACCTTCTGAGAAATCTCTTGATGGGCAGGCAGACAACATGAAAATGAAGCGTTGGTAGTGCACCTTCCCTTCTTATGCACCCCAAGGGCTGGAGTGTGGACAGTCAGGTCAATGAAGAGTGTGCTGCATGTGGTGGGTGGGCTTTGGGTGTCCGCTTCTCTTTCCTGTGTGCTTTCCTGTACTGCAGAGGCTGGAAAGCGAAACACTACATTTTCTAGGCTCTTTCGCAGCTATCATTCTGTATGCAGATTAAGTTCTGCCGGGTAGATGCTCCATTGGGAGATGTGAACGCCAGAAATGAGGTGCAGGCCATCCTCCTACTGTTTTTAGATGTTTTTTTGCTGGCACCTGAGGTCATGGAAACTATGGGATTTTATGTAGCAGCATTCCAGTGTTCAGTCTCCAACTTGAAGGGTTGGACCAGCTGTAAGAGTTGCGTGAGTGGCAGCTTCCTGATCTCTGAACCTCAGCTACAGTGGTGTGTTCTGCAGAATTCCAGTCCTGGCTTCCTGATTCCCACCTTCCTGGGAGTGGCAGAGGAGGCACGCCCTGGGGAGCTAGTTCAGCAGTCTTCTTTCAGGAGGCCCAGCCTGATACCTGCTTTCTAGCCTCTAATAAACTTAGTTTTGTTTTACAATAGACTTTATCTTTTAGATCATTTTTAGGTTCACAGCAAAATTAGGGGACAGTTGAAATAGTTCTCATATAACTCCCACCCACCCACCACCAATGCACAGCCTCCCTTACTATCAACATCATCCCAGCACAAGAGTGGTACCTTTGTTACAATCCATAACCCTACTTTGACACATTAATGTTACCCAGAGCCTACAGTTTGCATTAGGGTTCACTGTTGGTATTGTATATATAATGACATTTTCCACCATGATAGTATCATACAGAGTGCTTTCAATGCCCTAAAAATCCTGTGTGTTCCGCATATTCATCCTTCCCTCCCCCCTAACTCCAGCAACTACTGTTCTTTTTACTATCGCCATAGTTTTTCCTTTTTCTAGAATGGGGTTGGAATTATACAGTGTGTAGTCTTTGTAGAATGGCTTCTTTCGCTTAGTTATATCCTTTTAAGTTTCCTTCATGTCTTTTCATGGTTTGGTGGCTCATTTCTTTTTAGTGCTGAATAATTGTCTGTTGTGTGGATATGCCACACTTTATCCGTTCACCTACTGAAGGACATGTTGGTTGCTTCCAATGATTTTGTAAGCACCCAATTGCCTGCATGAAATACTTTGATGCTTACTAGTAAATAACAGTACCTACAGGAGTTTTCATTTCCTGCACTTTTGCCTGGTTAACATAAAGGATAAGGTGTCTAAGATACACACTATTGGCATGGAGTAGAAGTCACAACAGAATGGGGCCCAACTGAGACATGAGTTCAGCTGACCATTGTTTTTCTAATTTACTAGTGACCCAGTGCACGGATTTGTGCACATTGAAAGGAAGTTAATTAGAAGGTGGCGGGCAGGGTGGGACTGGGAAAGATGGTTCTGGGCGAGATGGGCCCGACACACCCTGGAGCCAATTTCCCACGGTCTCTCCCAGCATCTGCAGAATGAGTGGGGTTCCTCTGGCAGGTGGGGTCCCTCGGCCTGGCCTGTGGAGATGGGGCCGAAACCGGCTCTCCAACATCCCCAGATAGGTCCCGGAGTGCGAGAGGGCACTCTGAAAAATTGCCGTCATACAGGGTACGGAACGCAAACGCAAGTGTGCAGTAAACCAGATTCAGGGCCGACAGTGCCCCAGCAACAACATAACCCACAGCTGAAGGTAGAATCACATGGCCCCACAAGGAATCGGAGTCCCTCCTCTCTGGTTTCAGGGTCTGTCACCCGAGAACTGCCGCTGCCAAGTCACTGCAGCTCGGCAGCTCCTGTGTTGAGCATCTGCCCCCTGGTGGTCAGTGCACGTGATCGTGGCTGGTCGGATGGTTGGACACTTACTATATTAGCCTTTTATATATATAGATATCCTTCCTCATGTTAGTTGAATTCCTCAAACACCAGCACTTTGTTCTGTCCCCTGTGAGAGTGGAGAGATTACTATCACAGACTAATCTCAAAAGAGAATTGGGGGAGGGAGGGTGTAGTGTTCAGGCTTTCCCATGTGGGAACCAACAAAACTGGACCCCTCTGCCTTTGTGTCTTAGCTCCTATACATAGTAATCCTCTCAGCTGCAAGAATACACTAAGCTTTTTCTCATCTAATGGTTTTCCCACTGTTTCTGGGAACTCCTTCCTCTAGTTCACCAGGTATCTGGTTTTTTTTTTTTTTTTTCATTTTTCAGGTTTTAGCTCAAAAGTTACATCCTTATGATGGACAGAGACTTGACTTAGGGCCATGAACATGCAATACAGTGCACAGATGATGTATTGTGGAATTGTGCACCTGAAACCTATATAATTTTGTTAGCTATTATCACCCTAATGAAGTCACTAAAAAGTAGAAAAAAATGTTACCTCCTTATATAGTGTAAATTCTCACTGTTGTTTTCTAGGGCACCTCCTTTTTTTTTTTTTTTTTTTTACAGAGTGGTGTACTTATTTCAGGCCATAAGAATTTCAAGCTTTACTTTAGATCCAGCAAAAGCTTTGTCATATGTCATCAGTTAAATATGAGGGACAACATAGAAGGGAATTGTTTCCATTATCTCATGTAACAAACCACCTCAGAATTGAGCGACTTAAAACAGCAATTTATTATCAACTCCAGTAATTCTAAAAGTTAACTGGTTTCAACTGGGTGGTTGTTCTGTTGCTTTTTCTGCAGTTTCTCATGCAGTTGTAGTAAGATGGTGACTTGGCCTGGCAAATTCAAAATAGCTTCACCCACATGTCTGGTGCTTTCGCGGGGATGGCTGGAAGACCAATTCAGTTGGATGCTGGGATGGGCAGGCCTCCTTCTTCCATGTAGACCCAAGGTCTCTCCTGGTCCACATGGCCTCTCCACATGGTCCCTGTGTGCTTTTTCCATCTGAGTAACCAAACTTCTTACATGGTGACCTAGGGCTCCCAACAGGACAAAACAGAAACTTCCAGGGCTTCTTCTTCTTTTTTAAAAGATATATTTTTATTGATTTCAGAGAGAAAGAGAGAGGGAGAAAGAGATGGAAACATCGATGATAAGAATCATTGATCAGCTTCCTCCTGCACGAGCCACACTGGGGATCGAGCCCACAACCCAGGCATGTGCCCTTGACCGGAATCGAGCCTGGGACCCTTCAGTCCACAGGCTGACGCTCTATCCACTGAAACAAACCGGCTAGGGCCTGCCAGGACTTCTTAAGGCATATTGCTAGAACACTGCACAGCAGCATGTCTGCCTGCCACATCTTTTGATTAAAGCAAATTACAGCCAGCTCAGATTCCATGTGGACAGGGACTGTACAAGGGTGTGAACACAGGAGGCCTGGTGCATTGGGGTCCATCTTTACAGACTAGCTACAACAGTACTTAAATATTGTCAGTCAATGGACTTTACCAACATCCATGAAGCTGACTAATGAGTAATAATGATGATCATTCGTGATGATGATGATGAATGAGGAGAATTCTATTTGCTGTTTTAAAACTATTTTTCTTCTTGGGAAATGAGATAGCTCATAGGAAACCATAGGCATATTCTCTAGGAACTGGGAGCTAAATGATGATCTAAGAATTTAAAAAGTTAAAAGCTACACATGATGGATGATATTAGTCATCTGGAAAAGTCTTTAGGGCTAATAAGTCCCTAAATCATTTAAGAAAAAAAAGTAGCTATCAAATTTCATAAATAGGAGGATATCAATAGCCTAAAGTAGAGAGTTTGGATTGGAAACTAGAATACAGTAGGCTAAGGAGGGAGTAGGAGGTGGCAACGGAGCAGGGCGAGGGTAACAACTTATTCAAGCAATGCGCCCAGGAGCTCTGATGCACTACTTGGGGGAAGGGGAACTGGTACAGCCTTTTTGGATGGTAATTTGGTAGCAGGTAATAAAACCCTTGAGTGTTAATGTCTTTTGCCCAGTGATTCAACTTCTAAGAAATTAGCTTAATGAAATAATCAGACATATGCAAAGATATATACACCAGGTAATTCACTTAACTTTGTTTTATGGTGAAATATACCTTATATACAAAAGCATGCACAAAACATTGGAGTTTGTTTTAAAGAATTTTAATAAAATAAGTACTGATGTTGCTACCATTTTGGATAACAAGCAAACCATTGTTCCCATGTGCCCTTTCCCAATTTCATGCCTCTTTTCCCCAACCTAAGTAACAACTGTCCTAACCTCTGAACAATCATTTCTTTGCTTTTCCGGTAGAGTTTTACCACTTTTGAATGTATTTCTATATAGTATAATGTTTAGTTTTGTCTGCTTTTGAATTTAATAAAAATGCAATCATAGTATTTATCTATAACAATAAAAGCATAATATGCTAATTAGGTCCAATAATTATGCTGAACAACATTCTGGACATCCTTCCGGACAAAGCTGTAGTGGAGGGGGTCGAGGCAGAGGTGGTTAGTGGCGATCAGGCAGGCAGGCGAGTGGTTCGGGGAGATCAGGCAGGAAGGCATATGGTTAGTGGCAATCAGGCAGGCAGGTGAGTGGTTTGGGGAGATCAGGCAGGAAGGCGAGTGGTTAGGGGCGATCAGGCAGGCAGGCAGGCGAGCAGTTAGGGGCAATCAGGCAGGCGAGTGAGTGGTTAGGGGTGATCAGGCAGGCAGGCAGGCGAGCAGTTAGGGGCAATCAGGCAGGCGAGTGAGTGGTTAGGGGTGATCAGGCAGGCAAGCAGTTAGGAGCCAGCGGTCCTGGATTGCGAGAGGGTGCAGGCCAGGCTGAGGGACCAACCCCCATCCCCATGCACGAATTTCGTGCACCGGGCCTCTAGTGTTCTATAATTTGCTTCCTTTGCTCTCCATTATGTTTTTATGATTCTTCATTGTTGATAGGTATGGTTTCTGTTCTTTCATTTCTATTGCTATATATTGATCTATTTTACCTTGATGAATATGTTCAACTTTCCTAACAATGCTAAACTGTTTTTCAAAGAAATTTTACTAATTTACATTTTGGTGTACGAGTTTCTGTTTCACCACATCATCATCCATACTTGAAATTGTCAGTTATTTTCACTTTTGCCAATCTAAAGTAAAGAGTGGTATCAGTTCAGCAGAACTCTGTGCATTGGTTGCTAAAATCTGGAGGTGTGGGGCTCCAACTACATGCAGGATAGTAAAGATCATCACAGTGCCAGTCACCAGAAATAGAAGTCAAACACTCCTGCACACTGCATCTTGGTTTTTGAGTCGCTAAGGAAAATGTAAGAATCAAGCCACCACAAAAGGACCTGACCCCTCCCTGGTGGAGCCTGAAATCCTGAAATCCAGGGGTGTGCCTGAGGTCATTGATGCATCATTCGAGTAGAGCAAAGGATCACACATTGAGCCTGGAACAGGGAAAGATATTCCCACACAAGGCGATAAGCCCAGCACATATGGTGTGGGCTCTCTATCTTTTAGTAAGGAAGTGTTCCAGGCCCAAGGGCCATTCTTTTGCACCCAAATGGGGGGTTGCAAGGCTATGCACATGAGACTGCCTTTTCTAATGGCTATCTTTTTGTGTGTTTTTCTAACTACAGTTTTATTGAGTTACAATTCACATTTCATACAATTCCCTCATTTAAAGTGTTCAACTCCATGATATTTAGTCTATTCACAGAGTTGTGCAATCATTACCACTATATCATTTTTATGACATGTTTATCACCCCAAAAAGTAACCTTCTATTCATAGCAGTCATTTCCCATTACCTCTAGCCCCTGACAACTACTAATCTACTTCCTGTCTCTATGGGTTTTCTATTTGGGACATTTTATACAAATAAAATTATAGAATATGTGGCCTTACCCGACTGGCATGGCTCAGTGGTTAAGCATCGACTTATGAACCAGGAGGTCACGGTTCGATTCCCAATCAGGGCACATGCCCAGGTTGCGGGCTTGATCCCCAGTAGGGGGCGTGTAGGAGGCAGCCGATCAATGATTCTCCCTCATCGTTGGTGTTTCTATCTCTCTCTCCCTCTCCCTTCCTCTCTGAAATCAATAAAAATATATATTAAAAAAAAAAGAATATGTGGCCTTTTATGACTAGCTTCCTTCACTTAGCACACCATTTTAAAGTTTACCAATATTATAACATGTATCAGTACTTCATTCTTCACTTATTTTACTGTTGGATAATATTTCATTTTATGGATATACTACATTTTATGAATGTATATTTATGGTGAATGTTTATCCATTAATCAGTTGATAAATATTTGGGTTGTTTACTTTCTTACCATAAAACACAAAATCTTAAAACACTTTAATTCCATTTATTGCTCTCATGACTTCCATGAAATTGTTGTCATGTACTCAGTTTAAACATATAAACAATTTAAAACAAATGCATATAAGTCATAAGGGGAATAAATGGAGTTAAATTGTCTTATGATCTTATATTTTTCAGTAAGGAAGAAAATATGTTAATTACAAGGATTGGTACATATGCTGTTTTAGAGTCAATTTTTGTTTTTATTTACCCACATAATTAACCAATTTTTAATTCTTTATTTGTTTTTATTTCAGACCTCCTATCTGAGCTTGTATTCTTTCCAGTATAAATATATGTGTGTAGGAGTGTGTGTGTGTGTGTGTGTGTGTGTGTTTAAATATCAATGTGCCAAGAAAATAAAATACTATCAATGTAGAATTCTATACCTAGTGAAAATATCTTTCAAAAATGAGAGCAAAATAAAAGCATTTTGAGGTAAAAACACACAGTTTGCCAGCAGCACACCAGCACTAAAGGAAATGCTAGTGACTATAGCTAGTAATACCCTCAACACATTGAAGATGCCATTTCCCTGGCTTCCTGCTTCCACTGTTGCCTTAGAGAGCATAGCTCTTAATCTGTCTATTGCTCTTTTCAAAGTAAACTAACTTTTATCCCTGACTGTTTTTTTATTAAATCCTCACCCAAGGATATTTTTCCATTGATATTTAGAGAGAGTAGAAGAGAAAGGAAAAGACAGAGAGAAATACCCATGTGAGAGAAACACATTGATTGCTTGCCTCCCGCACTAGCCCCGACCAGGGCCCTGGGTTGGAGAGGAGCCTACAACCCAGGTACGTGCCCTTGGCCAGAATAAAACCTGGGACCCTTCAGTCCTCAGGTCGACACTGAGCCAAACTGGCTAGGGCTCCCTTGCTGCTTTTAAGTTATTTTTGAATTTTATCTTCTGGGTTCTGCCTTCAGGTAGTCTTTGGCCTGAATATTCTTTATTTCCTTGCAGACTCTTTGTTGTTTTTGAAAATGTTCTCAGCATGATAATTTGTTTTCTGTAGGAGTTATCTATCTGGGAACTTGGCCTGGCATGATAGCAGAAATAAAACATCAAATTTTATAAGAAAAAATTAGAAACAATCTTACCACCAAACAGTAGCTATTGGTTAAATAAAATGATACATCCTTTCAGTGGAATGCTCTACAGCCATTTAACTCATCTTTTTTTTTTTTTAATATATTTTTACTGATTTCAAAGAGGAAGGGAGAGGGAGAGAGAGATAGAAACATCAATGATCCAAACCAATGGACATGGACAATAGGGGGGTGAGAGCATGAGTGGTGGGGGGGAAGATGGGGGTTAATGGAAGGGATGAGGACAAATTTGTAATACCTTAACTAATAAAGAATTTAAAGATTAAAATAAAGGAAACATCAATGATGAGAGAGAATCATTGATTGGCTGGTTCCTGCACGCCCCCACTGGGGATCGAACCCGAAACTTGGGCATATGCCCTTGACAGAATTGAACCAGGGACCCTTCAGTCCACAGGCCCACTCTCTATCCACTGAGCCAAACCAGTCAGGGCTAACTCATCTTTTTAAAAGGAAAAGTGTTAGAAGAGCAGAAAATCTTAATATGATCAAAGGTAGGGGTTGAATTTGTATGTTTTGGGAGCTTCCTGAATGTTAGGCATTGTCCTGTGAATATTTATATGGACTACTGTTTTAAAT